GTTGTATGGATGGACGGAAGAAGTTTCAGTTATACATCTTACAGGGGAGCGTAAAATTAGTTAAGAGATATCTGGACAAGTTCAATACCATGGTGGAAAATCAATTTGGTACAATACCTCTTGTGGCAGGCTCTGAGTCAATTCATAATATTGCTCAGGAGAGCATTGATGATTTCGCTTTACCACAAATTTCAGCGAATATACTGTATTCAGTTGCTAGGGTTGGATCCATTGAGCATAGGTACGGTGGTGTCTGTGATGTCTATAATGCTTTTAGGATCGTTGAAGGTAACAGTTCTAGCAAGGGACCTTCGATCATGCATTTTGTGTGGTTTTCTACTACAAGGTGTGCTTCGACCCTGTTTGGTCAACAGTAATTTCTAGGTGGAATTTTGGAAAATCAGGAGTAGAGTTCAGGTGTTGCTTGTGGACGCCGTGCAGTGGAAGATGTTTTTGTGAAATAGAGAGTTTTGGTTTTGGTTGAAGAGTTCAATTTATTTCACTGCAGCCGAATTTACTTTTTCAGGTGGGAAAATTTTGGAATTTTGTTCGTTGTAGTGGAATTCGTATCAAGGTAGAGATTGTTAGAATTTGGATGTGACCCGAATTCCTTATTGAAATAATTGTAGAGTTTTAATTGAAGTGCACATCAAGAGGAATTATAATTGGAATGCTAATAGGAGTTGGAATTTGTATTGGACTTGATGAGATCAAATAAGGAAACTTTTGGCATTTTATTTCATTTACAACTCCACTTCTAGAGATGGATTTTTCCGCATAAATACTAGACACTTTTTCTAGATTTATGAAGCTTTATTACTGTAGTTGTATTTTCTCCATATTGCTATTGAATAAAACATCAGTTCCTCTGCTTAACTCTCTTTTTGTTTCTTTATTTTAATTTTGTTCTATTGGTTGTGATCTTACATATTTCATATTACACCATTGAATCTCATTTCTTGTATCACCTTCCGGTCCAACAATGAGGTTTCAGAGTTGTTCCACCTTCAACACACCTTCTTTACTTGACCCCATTTTTGGTAAATCGAGATCATAAGCCTGCCGTGCACAACAATAGTCATCCACCCGTAGTATCTCGAAATTCATTGTGAATGAAAATGTAGAAGAAAGCTGTGGGTGCTAATGAAGATTTTTATTCTTTTTCAAAATATACAAAAGTTAGAATTTGCATTATGGAAAGAGGGGGGTGGGCAAAAATCGTACCAACCTACAAAAATTGACCAATTCAAATCGAATCGACCGATTTGTGTTGGTTTTTTCTTAAAAATTCTGTTAGGTCGAATTTTTTAGAAGAAAGGGTAATGTTGGGTTATGGGTTTATCCATCAAAATCGATAAAATCCGTCCAACTCAATCCGCTACTTAAAAAATTGATAAAAAAAAAAATTAAAACAAATGTAAATATTCAAAAGTTGAAACCTTACGACCCTAGTTTATAAAGTCTTTTAATTTCTCTCATACTTCCTATTTCTCTCTAGCCATAAAGCTAAATGCCATCCTCTCTCATTCTTTCTCGTTCAAGCCCGTCAACCGTCGCAACTATGTTTACATCTAGGTTCAACGCTAATTGTCGTCTTTTATTCCTTTTGGTACTCTGAACTTTAGATTTTAAGTTGATTATTCATTTATGTTTTGCAAATGTAGGTTTCAGGCTTTTTTCTTTTTTCCTTTAAGCTAGATGATAATTTGGATATTATATGCATTTTCCTTCATCCACGATTACAAGTTTTTATTCATAGTCGAAGCATTGTTGTTGATAGATTTTTATTATCGAGCATGTTTTTATGATTTTTAATGTCTAAATCTACCAAACTCAATCAAAACATGATTGGGTTGAAACACATGAGTGTGTTAGGTTGGTTTGATTTTAGATCAAACTGACCATATTAGGTTGGGTTTTGGTTGGGTAAAAAATCGACGCAACCCACGCCCACCCCTAAAGAGGAGAGTGTCGCCCATATTTCCTTAATCAACTAGGATTAGTATAGGACGACTGCAATAGCTAGGTTGAAGAAAAATTTACACTATTAGTTAAGGAAAATGCTCGTTATATATCATCATTTACAGATTCTTTTACGAATTGATGATGCAACAATAAATTGAATTAAAATTGTCAAAAAAAGTTCACCACTTAAATGATTATGCTTCTATAATGTGGGTTGGCGGCAAAAGAAAGTGGAGGGATTTTTATTTTTTATTTAGTCGGAGAGATTTTTACTCTTATGTGATCGGTTGGTAAACAAATTTGTAAGTTATAATGTACATCTAGCACAACAGATTAATCAATGGCTAAATATAAGTATTAATTTGCCAAAGGTTCATAACCTTTACACATTATCACATTCACGTCCCAAACTTTTTTTTTTCATCATATCATATTCTCAAACTAACATAAATTGTTTTTTGGTTACGGTTTCTCTCCACAATTTTCTTTAAGATAAGAGTAAAAGGAATCATTTGCCCATTAAATTTTTGAATATAAAAACAAATAATTCTATAAAATGCAATAAAATATTTGATCCTAAATTTAATGAACGTTAACAATATTTTTGGATGAAAATTATGATTAGGGATAAGATTTTCAGATTAATGAAATGTCAAAAATAAGAATGTGATGAAAAAAAAGTTAAAGATGTAAGTCTGATAAAGAATAAAGATTAATGATCTTTAACGCAATAAATGTGGGGCGAATATAACCATCTAATGAATAGGAGATATGTTGGGCTTTTTTCAATTGAGGGTTGGGGATAAATTCAGGGATTAATAGCACAAATGGATTTAAACTTTAAATTGGACAGCTTGCGTTGGTGCGGAGCTTCTTCATTTCAAACTCCTCTTAGTGTTTGTTTGATAGAATTTATTTGGGAATAATGAGTCATTAAATAGTACTCGATTGTAAATTTCAGGGCCCCTAAAATTAGTTGAGGTGCGCGTAAGTTGGTTCGGACACCTATGATAATCAAAAAAAGTAAAGGACCAACACGAGCTTAAATTAAGTACTAAATATGTATAGCAGGTTCATGCCCAAAATTTTTCGTAACTTGTGAACTCGAAATTTTTTTAACATTGATAAAGAAGTTTAAATGAATCAAATCTGCAGAAAATGTTGTAAATTGAAACAAATAACACAAAATAATAGGATAATCTTGATAGAAAAAAGAATCGTTGCTTTTCCCTTCAATTGTTCATAAGTTTTACAGCACATACATTTACATGACATACATTACAAAACTTGTAATATATGGGATCAATATTTTTGTTCAACAGATCCATTCCACCTAGTCATAAATTTAGCACACTTGTTTAACAAATAATCATTATATTTAATTTAAATCAATCCAACGTTCAATATATTATGGATCTCAAGTGGTTAAAACAAACTCTCACATAGTCTTAGTGAAATATATATTAAACATTGGATTAATTTAAATTAAAAGTCACAATTATTTGTCAAATAAGTGTGTCAAATTTATAAGTACGAGGAACATGCTCAATACTTGCAACTTATGGGATAAAAATGGTACTTTTTATTTTAATTACTACCTATGGCAAGTGAATCAGTAAGTACATCTCATTTTCACGATCGACTGAAAAATGAAAATACAAATTTTATTACTCTTTAAGGTTCGGCACAACTGTTGTGAATGGAGTTTGTCTCAATTGAGTTTTCAGCAGTATTTTCAAAAATTGTTACTAAAAGGTTTTTAATTGTTTAGTTGTGAAAAGTCATCTAAACGAAAAATTAATTTTTCTGGCAGAATAACTATAAACATATTTCTGTAAAAACTACATATTTATTTGACTAAATATTAATTATTTCTTATGTATTTCATTAACTGTTCTTTCACAAATAATGTCTATGTCAATATAATATCAAATATATTAAGATTAATATTTTTATTTAAATCATCATGACACGTTTATTTCAATAAATAAGATATTACTTAAAATCTATTTTTCAATTATACACAATGTGCTATTTCTATCATATTATAACCCACCAATATATGGCATATATTTGCCATATGAACTATGAAGTAAACCTTCTACAGTCCAAAGTGATAAATATTAAGATAAATCATGTCATAAATCTTCACAAGCTCATTAATAATATTAGGAGTTTGATAGTTGTTTATATATAGAATCGATGTTCATCTTATAATAATTATCGATGACATGACATCAATTTATTGATAATAACAAACTTAATTCAAATATTAAAATCTATTATAAGTGGAACTTGCCACATGTATATCAATATTTACATAAGAGATTACATAATACTTACATGACACTTTACCATTTGTCATTTTAAAACAGAATCAACTTTTTGTTTCGATATTTTATTTCCACATTATTTTCAGTAACTGCTTATATACCATTTTTATATATAAATAACAAAATCCATTATAAATATATTCACCAATGAATTAATTTTCCCATTCATCGACGCTTAACAGAAAATGAATATCGATGCTCATTAAATGATACATATATTTAAAAAAAAATTATTTAGAAAAGCTCAAAATTTGAGTTTGCATAACCAATCGAGATCCAGGTAATCCGACCTATAATGTGCAAAACATCCATGTTTGATATGTGTTAAAAAGTCGATAAGTTTTTGAAAAAAAAAATGTCAAAATTTACAATTAATTTTGATGACACGTTAATAGAATCTACAACTTTTATCAATTTTTCAACCAGATATTTTCTCAATTTCTATAAAATCTATAAAAAAAAAATAAAAATAAAGAAAAGATCTAAATTTTAATTACCCTGTAATTCCCAAGATGATTACATGTTCCCGTGCCATTTTGAAGTGTAAACAAAATAAATTTAGCACATCATTTTTAGCCTCTAGTAAAATTTATAAATCATTTATAAATGATCAAATTTCGTATCAACTATACATTCCAATGGAACCACAAATCCACTTATCCACCACTTATTTCTATATCTATAAATTATACAGTGTATAAATTCTTTCCAAACTGAGGCTTAGCATTCAGTGTGTTCATAGAAGGATACGCTTCTCAATTCATAATAGGAACAAAATGACACAAGCAGTGATTGTTCTTAAAGAGAGAATATAGCAAAAACAAGACCTACATAATTACAAGAAGTGAATTCTACCGGCTTGATAATATGAAAGCATAAAGAAAAACACCAGCAAGTTGTGTAGCAGCTATTCTTCTCAGACATCATCAAAGTATTTTTCTTCAGCATCATGATTTACTTCTTTCATCCAGTGATCGTCTAAGGTCTCATCCTGGTCAATTTTGGAGTAGTCCAGATGCTGATGATCATCCCCTGCCAAAAACTTCTGCTGCATGATATAGGTGAACTGCTCCATCCGATCTTTCATCTCCTCAGGTGACAAACTATCTTCCTCGATGGGTTCTGGGGTTGTAGATTGCCCATTGTTGTGCACACCATGATTCGAGTGTAACTAGTAAATTTAATAACTATAAGATCATATATTGAAACAACGGCAATAACTGACAACGATAAATTATGGATATGCCCGTTTCAACTTCTTTCTAATTCTCAAAAAGTTGGGAAGTGATTAAAAGGAGCACATAGAATGGATTGGTTCCAATTTGTTTTTACAACGGATCGAGCATGTCATGGAGGGGAAAAAAAAGAAGAAGAAGAATAAGAAAAGCAAAAGAAAAAGAAAAATAAGAATAAGATGAAAATCAGCTTCACAGGAAACTATCATTACAGTTTCTTAGTCTAGTTGCCAGATTCCCTTTAGAAGTCACCTATCCTATACTTTTCAGCTTACGGTATGGCTGAAAGCTAGGATTTTATTTTCTTTTCTTTTCTTTTGGTCCAGTAAAACAATGCAGAACTCCTAGAACAATATAAGCTAAGATGCCTAATGCAACCAAAAGATCTTAACAAGAAGTTGGGAAGGGGGAAACCACTCACAAAATAGAAAACACATGCCATCTGGCATCTTACAGGGATCCTGAGTATCAAATCAATACAAAGCCAACTACACTAGTTATTCAAGGTGGTTACGAAAACTCCAGGCGGCAATATAAAACGAAACCCAAATGGCAGATATGGCTAAACCGAGGATCTATTCTTAGCATACACTACGAAACACAAAAATACCTATAGTTCACACAAAGAATGTAGAAAGCTAATAATCTAATCACATCATTTACGGAACCTATTTTAATAGTCAAATCATGATTGCCATCATATTATGAATATAAATGAGTCAAATGACATAGTTCCCTAAAAATGTCCAACCACTACACTTTAATGGAGGTGAGAAAATAAAAATTTTGTTTTGAAAAGTCAAAACTATTTTAATCGAACTTTTCCCATTTTTCAGTTTGCTAAAAGGCAGCTCATAACCAAAAAATCAGCATTTCTATCATTTAGGAACTTTGGACTTAAGAAAGTGCAAATAGGGAAATGCATTTAAAAGGCGTCATTTCTGAAATCGATCTATAGTTAACGAATGGAAGGAGTCTACGAAACGCTCTTTTTGAAAGCTTTCTACCCATAGAAATTGGCATTGGTTAGTGCACATAAACATTAGTGCATGGATGAAGGAAATATTGATCTTGAGAATTATCCTTATTTTTCTAGGGATGTTAATTAAAGGAAAATTAGAACGTGCCACCATGTCACATTTGAAAACAACTACTTCTCTATAGGTTATAAGCTTTGATAGAACCATTTTCAATACTTCAGCTATTTCTCACATAGGTGAAGACAGATAATTGGTCGAAAATGAATTCAGCCTAAAAAGACAAATAGAAGATTGGCACACATACAAGTGAAAGAGGACCATTTTTTATTTACATTAATAGAATATTATGATGGAGTTACATGTGGATATGATGTTACAGTTATTTCTATCAACTAAAGGATTTCTATCAACTAAAGGATTTCTATTAACTGAAGGATTTTCATAGCTATACGCCATGCGAAAGAAACATATGTGAACACTTAAGTTTAAGGAAGGCCAAATCATTCAGTTTCTTATTGTAATTTATAATACCTAACAGAACTATTTTCTCAACTAAGTTCAAACGCCTGCTGAAAGGAGCAATCTAAAGAGAATTAGCTGTATATGCAATCCACTTATTCAGAGCATAATAAAATCAATTTTATCTCTATAGTCTGATGAGCAACAAGATTTCAGATAATAACAAAAGAACATATTTAACAGAACTCTCATGTGAAGACAAGTATAATCAGGAAGAAACAATAATAGAAACTTTTACCTAAATAACGAATCACAGTTTGCAAAACCAGTTGCCTATATTAATCTCAAACAGAAAGGGGCAGATTTATTTGCTAAGGATGTGTATCAACATATACAAAGTAAAGGAGCATATGAAACTAAAAGGACGTGTATCAACATATAAAAAGTAAAGGAGCATATGAAACTAAGTGTGCAAATTGAAGTGATCAAAAGACCCAGTAATTTTTACCTCAAGGCTCCTAGAGGTTTTAGTACCGAGGCCAACTGTCAAATTTTCCTTCTCAATCTCCTCCTTTCCTCCACCTTCTTCTTCTTCTTCTTCTTCTTCCTCCTCCTCTTCCTCCTCCTCCTCCTCCTCCTCCTCCTCTTCTTGCCATTCTCTTTCATTTCCAACCCAATCACTCTGAGCCACACCCAAACGTTGCTGTTCCACCCTAATTTTCTCCACTAAAATGGCCTCCTCAGATCGCCTCATCAGAGTCTCCGACCACCGCTCTCCAGGCCTCGCCATGCTTCTCCCACTCAGGTCCTGGAATTTACCCACGTACTCATGATGCAAATAGGGCTCTCTCTCCCTCATTGCATCCTCGGAAAAGTACTGCCCACCTGCTACTAAGTTATCCATATATGCCAGCCTCCGATTCCTGATCTTTGCAGACTTTGACTTCTTTTCCTCCTCAGTCGGACTGATGACACTCCTTAGACGATTTAAATGCCAATTGATTTCGTAATCATCTTTCAACACATCAAATTCTTTGAGTTCCTCAAGGGATAATTTTGATCCATACCGCTCTAAATTCATTAAAATAAGCACAGGATTAGAGCAAAAATCAGAGATTTATGAACTTGTGAAGCAATCCATGTTTGTGTTTGCATTTAATAAAAACAGAATACGTCCACAATCAAATGCAATGTGCAGTGCATTAAGCATTTCCCTCTTAACCCACCCCCCGCACCAAAAAAAAAAAAGTCACATCCCCGTAACAGTGGAAAAATTCTATCATATGAATTGTCCGCAAACAGAAAAAGGTTTTCACTATCCATATCCAACTTCAATAATAACACTCCGATGAAGAATAAGATGAACGAAAACTAAAAAAATATAAAATAAATTTGAAGGGACTTCGAATAATTTTTTCACTTTTAACATATTTATGATAAAAAAGCGCATACCCAACTACCCAAAAAGACAGTTAGAGGCATATGCACATAAATAAATAAGCATATACTAGGAAGCAATTCAAATCAGATTAAGAGGCATCAGGTACCTAAGAAAACAGCGACGTCGCGAGAAAGGAGGTCAAGGAGGAGGGATTTGCGTTGGGAGGGTGTGGCTGCGGAGGATTGTACCGCGCGAGGGAAGTACAAGTCCTCGAGCTGTGACAGCCTATCCGATATGCCTCCCTTGGCTTCGCTGTTTATCATGGCTTTATCAGGTTTTGATTTCTCTATAGAAGATGGTATCCGTAGAGAACCCACTAATAGTACTGTGTATTGCTGTTTCTTGGAGCAGGGCCAGGTTAAACGAGTCGGTATCGTCGTGCACATGTATCTTTGGGAAGGGTTAATAGACTGATTTAGCCCTCTTTCCGATCAGACAGTCAAATTTTAGCCCATTCCGACACCGTCGCGAAAAATGACGAAATTGCCCTCCCGGTGCTGCGCGAATTTTGTTTCCGATCAGCCAGTCAAATTTTAATCCATTCCGACACCGTCGCGAAAAATGACGAAATTGTCCCTCGGTGCGGCGCGGATTTCGTTTCCGATCAACTTGTCGGGGGGCAATTTCGTCATTTTTCGCGACGGTGTCAAAATGGGCTAAAATTTAGCAGGCCCATTAAAATGAAAAATATAATCGTTATTCATCACATCAAATCATTATATTTGACTTTTTATCTCTTGTATAAAATTCGTAACGATTATATTTTTCATTTTCATTTTTACATTAATGTGCACCAAACGGGTCATTAATCTATAAACGTGAAAGTAAGTATCTATAACCATAATTCTACTTTGTACGTCCAAAGTGTATTAAATTGTTTATCTCCTCTCACATGTACAAGAGGAATTCGCGTAAATAAAAAAATCTCAACATGTGGTCTCCACTCTCTATTGTGGATAGTCGAAAAGGAATTAAGTAAAAAAATTCAATACATATAGCATGGTCTAATCTATAAATATGTGGATGATTTGAAGGATTGTGCTGTGTCAAAAAATTTTGTACAGATGATTTGAATTCAAATCAAGAAAAAAATGTACGCAATTCAAATTAAAGGACCAGCGTATATCTACCGATCTATCTGTACAAAATCACATGTACTGGTTGAATAATTGTGATTTGAATATGTACGAAGGGAGCGCTCCGCCTACCAATATATTTTACAAAGATTTTTTAAAAATAATTTGGATTGTTGAATTTTAAAAAATCTAACGATTGTCATTAATTATATTATAATCCTTCAAAATTTTTAGAATAATGTTATTCTTAGTGAAAATTATTGACGGTCATCCTACGTGACATACGCATGGTAGTTTGTTATTTGATGCATAAGATAATAAAAAATTAACATATTAATGAATCAAATAATTACCTGTCATAAGTATGTCACATGAGACGTCTATCGATAGTCTTCACTGTGAATTATATTACTCAAATTTTTATTCCCATATCGAAATATATCGTACTTACCTTTTAAAAATCGTCGATTACCTTCTCATAAACAGTTTATTCCCCGAAAAAGGGAAAAAAAATGTAAAAAAAAAGAAGGAACAAAATCAAGATTCTTCTCTTCTATGTAACTTGGTTGTCAATTCCTCAAAAATCTTTTCTTTATTCCACAATTCACGATTCCTCACCTCCTACGACTTTTGATGTAAAGCATTTCGATCCATTTGTCTCGCCGAGATATATTGACAGATGAGCTCACATTTAACATAGAAGATAATTTCATAGAGACGGACACCTTGCCTTGAAGCAAGTACCATGAATCATGAAATTGAAGAAGATATTGATTGAAAACAAGGATTGAAAAGGAGATTCATAATAAATAATCTCTAATTGTCACCCATATGTTAGGCTGCAAATCTTCAACCTTAATTTTCCATTGATGCCAATTTCACAAACCTGTTTCTTGGATAACATTATGAATTTTATATGAAGGCTTGAGATGCCAATCATTGGTGGTTGGATAAGAGATATTGGTGAAGCAGACAAGAAGAACAGAATGGTGAAGCCAATGAGGAGAAGAATCCTGATTTTCTTCTCTTCTCTCTCTCTCTCTCTCGGGAATAACCGCTTGTGAGAAGGTAATTGACGATTTTTAAAAGTTAAGTAGGATATGTTTGGATGTAATGATAAATTTTTTGAAGAATTATAATATAATTGATGACGAGTGTTAGATGTTTTAAAATTCAAGAGTCTAGATTATTTGTCAGAAGTCTTTGTAAAATGTATTAGTAGACAGAACACTCCCTATTTATAAATATGAATAAAACATAGGCTCAACATTAATTGAAGATGGCACAATATGCAACTTTGGTTATGTTGGACTCTGATCTCTGATTTAAACTAAACGCTCTCTCAAAACCACTTAGTCTGTGTAGAAGTTTGGGGTGGATCATCAAGATCAGCTCAGAATAATTATCGTCATAATCCCAAAAAAACATCGTCATTACAAATTCTCTACCACATTGCCAAAACAGCTGCCCCTAATCAACTAGGAACTTCTGACCAATATGACGTTAGCGCCTCCATATCCCACCAATCAACTGCGAGAATTCCTTATTTGATGTCAGCTCATTATTACCTGATAATATAATGTAGATCAATGTCATGATGATCCGATGGGCGCCGACCTTGGCAACTAGTTGAAGGCAATAACACTGGCACGCGCCCTCAAACTCGATCTGTAGCTGATTTGGTTGACAAGACCTAAGACCGACAAAAGGGAAAGCTCTTCCCCCTTATAAATAGAAGCCAATAGTCCCTCCCATGTGCAGGCTGAGCAAAACCCACCTCTCGTAGGAAAAGAAAATCACACAAAAAAGAACTACACACTACAGAACAACCAAACAAAGTGGTGGAAGATTGTTAGAAATATATTTTCCATCTCGACGTTGGCCCAAAATTTGGCGTCAACAGGTTATATTCTCGTTCGGTGCAAAGCCCTTGATTTTGTGATTTGTCACGGTTGAGGCTTTTAAGTTCTGTTGACCCAGCAAACTCTAAGTCTTCAAAAGCTAATATGGAGTTTGTAATCAGAGTCAAAGCCGAGACAAATTTGCATTACTGATGAGATTCATTTAGCAATTGATCAAGCATTTCATTTGTTATTATCAAGATATATTTATTCAATTCAACTTTTAGGCCCTATTTGATGGTCATCATAAAGAGAAATTGAGGAAAGTAATGTTTTGAATAGCAAATTTTTTTTAGAATGTGTGGTTAAAAAATATTTTTTTTAAATTTATGTGCAAAATATTTTATTCTGTGAAAGTATGGTTGAAAATAAGTATAAGAAATATAGAGTTTTGAAATAAAGAGATTCAAACAATGGCTTAATTTCTTTCAAATATGAGAATTTTGCTAAAGATTCAGAACCAATTTTTCGGTTAAAAATGGTTTTAGAAATTGTAATTTTGGACAACTTTGACCTAAAAATTAAGCCCCCTGTTTGTTGCACATTTTTCCTCCATTTTAGAAAAAAATATTGCCATTTCTAGGGCCCACTTGCCATAAATGTTTTGACTCTCATCTCACATTTTGCTTGAGAGATGTGCCCAACGATAGGAATGATCATTCTCATTTTTGATAAAATGTGCAACAAATAGAGAATAAGTGGGACTTGAACTTTGAAATTAGTGAGACCAAGCATATTTATGTTCTATTCTTCTAGATGATTAACACGATATATTTATTTGTAGAAAACCATCAAAAATTGAATAGAATATCTTATTCTTAATTTACTCACTTAGAACTTGTAAGTTGAAGAAATTGATTGAACATTGGAATAAAATGTTTGGTATGTAAGTTCGTAGTTTGGCCTTTGAGGGTTGGGTCCTAAGAAGTACCATTAGTTTTCGGAAAGGGTGGAGACATATATCTTATTGGGTTCAATCTAAAAGCCAATTGCATGTATCGTTGTCGTCCAGCATGAGCTTAGGTCGAGTTTGGGTGCTGGTGCGTGTCCTCGTCTGACACACACACACACACACACTTTTATTTAAAATCTATGGGCCACTGTTATTAATAAAAATGTTGGGTAATGATCTTTTAAATTCCAACCGCTAGCTCTTTCTACAAAAAATTTCTCAATCAACCGAAGTCTATTTTTGTAATTGACATATGTGATAGACTGTAATTGATGTCTATAATCAATTGTAACATACGCGAGTTTTCAATTTGGACATACACCTTTTATCAATTGAGAGAATGTATGTATACTGCATAGTCACCAATGTTGTGAAGGGGCTTGTAGCCTATTCGAATTATCACAAACAAACTATAAATAGCATGCCTTTCTACTAGATAATTAAACCATTTTCAAACGCAAATATTTCTATTTTGAATCTCATTCATCTCTCTCTAAATTCTAATGTTGGCTTTTCGAGTACAAAAATACAATATTGAGTTCATTGGAATTCTTACTGATTGTTATGCTACTTTTCTAAGTGGCGTAATTCATTTTATCGTGATGGACAATATAAATTTCATCTTAAGGACACATCTTGAGTCAAAGAGCTCAAATTAATTTTTGATCTCATTTTCAATCACATTGATCATCTGTTTCTGCTTAGTTATGTTGATCATCATGTTTATTCTGTTCAAATTTCGTCCCGATAATCTAATAAAGTTAGTATATTCAGATTGTTCAAAGGAGAAATCAATACTCCAAGAACAATATTTTTGTCTTAGTAAAAAAAAAATGAAAAATTTTCAATGTTGTGGCATTTGATCATAATTCCTCTTTTTCCCCCTTTTATTTATTTTTCTATTTAATAGGTCGAAGAACAAAATGGTCCATTAAGACAGGCTTAACACAAGATTAGTCCTACAAAATTCCAAGATATGTTGCATAGTTAGAAACGGAAAGCTTTAATTCTTGCACCAAATTAGTAAGACTGTACTTCTCAATTCCTCCTATTGGCTTTGAGTCTCTAAAGGCGACGTTGAAGAATTCATATGGATAGTTTGAAAATTCTTTGAACGACAGAGATGTTCCTATTCTCCCAAATTCATTTTTCTACAAGTTTATTTTCATAAAACTTTTGGAATGATTGTAGCTGCACTCCCAAACCTTTCAAAGGGTTGCACATTTTCTCCTAAGATTTAATCTATTGCACTCGTAGTCACAAATCTTTCAAGGTAGCTTTAGCACATCTAATGACAACTTGAGATTTCATTGCTTGAGCCTAGCACCCTCTTTCGTCGCTGATCTTCTCCATTTCATAATTGATTGGATTGATTTTAGATGAGGGGTGGTGGTGGTTTGAGGTTCGTGTGTGGTGGTATCGACAGGGTGCTATGATACCAGACAGTGGAGAGTGATCTTGATTTTGTTTTGGGGTTTCGTGGGGGTGATATTTACTTCAATCATGCTAGTGGTATATAATTTCTTGTACGTTAGGTATACCACTAGAATTATTTTATTTACTTTACTTTATTTTTTTAGTTTTTTAATTTAATTAATTTTATTGTTCTACGTGGTAAATAAAAAGTTATTATTTTACCCATTATAAAAATATTAAAAATGTGATTAAACTCAATTTTTTTTTCTTTGGGTTGATCAACTAATAAAAAATATTGATTATTTTCATCCATTTGAACTCTAGACGGACGCAGTTGAAATGTTTTGGACCACGAGTGCAATAAATAAAAGGTTAGAAAAAATCTACTATATTTTAAACCCATTTGGCTCCATCATTTGGAATTTTAATGATTGGAATAGTGTTTTTATTAAAGAATATGTAACTAGAAAAAAATAAAAAATTTTGAAATTACATGTAATATTATTTTTTTGAAAAATGTGTGGTTGATAAGAGAAAAGAGAAAAGAGAAAAATAAATTATAATTTTAATGGAACCAATGACGGATTTGAAAGATTTTATCCTTAAAAATTATTCTCATAAAACTTATACCAAACAAGTGTTGAACTTAAATTTATTACGCGTCGGGTCTACGAAATAAAATAAACCCAATTCCCCAGCAACTACAACAATAATTACTTCTGCTTTGAAAGTAGACGGATATATTCTATACCCACTATCCCTACAGCAACATTGCACTCTGTGAAATCGCAATTGTTTCCCCTTTCGACTTTTCCTACTTGTCGCCCTCTATGCCCTCCGTTTGCTTTCTGCTTTTCCGATTTTGCTCCTCTCTCTCTCTTCTGTAGATCGAATCTGAGTATATATAAATTCATTTATTGTACGCTTCATTCTTGAAGAACCCTGTAAACCTTTAATTCTCTATATAAAGCCGGATTTCAGTATTGTTTGCGTTTCTTTTTGTTGGTAAGTTATATTTCGATTATTTTTAATTTTTCGGATTTGTTGCTCCGAGAAAATTTTTGGTCGTGCGTTGTCTAGAATGAACGTTCATGATTTAAAAACTACTTTTTTTCAAAAAAAATTATTATTATATTTCTTTTTTAGTCTAAACGATTATTTGGGTTTTCAAAATTATAAATTGTGACGGCTTATAACAAGGGTTTCTCTTGGTCCCCGTAATTATTTTTCTCTTTTCTTTTGCTAATTATCTCCATTATATCTATCTCGGGATCATGGGTTGGATTCATAAAGTGAAAAATTAAAAGCTGTTTCGTGGTTTTCTGATTACAGATTATATAATTCTACATGTTAATATGATTTCATCGGGATCATATGTTTCTTGAGTTATCAAAAACTGACACTTCTCTTTGGTTTGCTTCTAGCGTGGAAAATACTCATTAAACCTTTTTCTCAGGATCAAGGGAGACGTTTTCCAAATTCTAATTTTCCACATCTATTTTTCACATTTCAACTAGTCATATCAAAAGCCCAATCGAAGTCAGGTAGGCAATTTGGGTGAAATAATACTTTCATTTGTAGTTGGTTTACTAATTGATTGAATGATTTGTTTTTTGGATTTGCCTGTGTCATTTGCAAGGTCATGGTAGTCATGATGATATATCGTGGTGAAATATAGGTTCTAGGCACTAGTTAGCTGGGGAGCATCTTGCTTCAATAAATGGGCTGTTTTCAGTCTACGGCAACACGACAGTCTCCTGGTCACGAAGATCCTGTTTTACTTGCTTCCCAAACAGCATGTAAGTTTGTTATTTAGCCCCTATCTGGTTTAGATGAAAATCAGATCTTTGGTAGAATTTGAAAAAGTTGATGGAAACTATAGTTGAAAGTTATGGGTCCATGAAATGTGTGATTAAAATTAATTGTTGACTTTGACTTAGATTTTAATCCAAATTTTTGGCTGTACCAAACATGGGCTTATTTTCGGTGAAAAATATTTGTTGGCTAATATCTGTAAATATCTGAATATTTTCAATACCAAACTGGGAAAGACTTGTTTGGTCAGAGTTTCGATGAAATGACTGCATTTATTTGTGAGATTGGCGTTGTCAATTAATTTGATGTGGAAATAAAGGTTACAAATATGAAAGTCTGGTGTTAAGGATTTAGAAAAGTCATTCAAGTGAAAAAGCTTGTTGATCAATGCATAATGCCTGAGCAGCTAAGGTGTCGAGCAGGTTCTCTTAAAATGCTAGCCACTTAACATTTACTCTTATAGAACATGCACATTTCATTTAGGATCTTTTGGTTTGTGGTGCTTCTTATCTTTGCTTGATCCAATTTTGGAGGGCGAATTAGTATGATATCAAAACATTGGGGGATTGGTTCATAAGTACAACCAGGTGACTCATGGACAGAATCACGAGAACATGTATTTTTCTCCTCAAAATTTTCACTGCGAGGTGAAGGATTAATTCCTTGCAATAAATTAAGTATTTGATCAGAATGTTCTCTTTTATTGTTTTTAAGTTTAATTCTTAGGTTATTGGAATTACTGCATAGTCCTTTTTGTAGTTTAGCATTTGTATTGTATTGTATTTTATTTATGATGAGTGGTGATTTGCCCGTTCATTGCTTTTAATTGAAATTTGTAAAGTTATTAATACATAATGCCTTAAAATCTCTTTGGGGTTTATATTAACATGCTGAACAATTATATTATTTACACTTGACAATAAATTATTTCACTTAGCTTTCGAGTCAACACTTATTCATTGTCATCTAAGGTTGTTGCTGTGATGTACTATCTCGATGCGTTCCTTGTGGTTTTTTAAGTCAAAACCTGAATACATGGGATTTTTTTCTTCTGCAGTCAGTGTTAGTGAAGTTGAAGCATTATTTGAGCTGTTTAAGAGCATTAGCAGTTCTGTAATTGACGATGGGTTAATAAATAAGGTAATTTGCTTTAAACATTTATCAAATCTTCCTGTGTACTTTAAATATATCATGATTACACACATCCTCTGTTTTTTAACATAAATTATCTCTTGCTTATGAATTTTGGTTCTCTGTGGTCATAGAAATACATAATTGATTGGTTTCTTAAGTATCTTCTTTTAAGACCTGCTTTAAAAATCTTAATTGCATAACTTTTCTGCAGGCTGCAGCCTATTGCTGGGATATGTTTTGGCTTGTGCAAACTTAGATATATTTATGTCTTTATCTTTTAGACTTCCGAAGAAATTTCTTGTTGAGAAACAGAATTATCTGAGATCATGATGTATGCATTACCAATAAAGCACTAGTATCAAACTCTAAAGTTAACATGAAGAGAAATATGTTTCAAGGAAAAGTTTTGACATTATAATCGAAATTGTACTATTCTATCACTTGTCTATTTGCTTTATGTCCTGTTTAATTGTTGGAGTCAATTGAAAATGTGAATTGGAGTGGATGATTGGAACTCTGATGAATGTTACACAAACACATTGATCCTTGCACTGAAATTGGAATGTTATAGCTTCCATTAACGAATTTCTCCTACCATTATAGCACAATTATTGCCTGTCTTGAGAATGATTAGGCCCTTGTTTGATTTCTTTACATTCACTTCTTCTCAACACTCGTTTTTTACTACAACTTCTCCAAATAAACTAATTTTGCATGTGGATCCACAACTTTTCTCTATTTTTTAACTACACATTTTTTAATTTTTTTTTAAATATCACTTCTCACAATATCAAAACCGAACAGAGGCTAGATAAATCACCTACACCGAGCTATTATTAGATAATTTTAGAATTTGATTTTGATGCGTTTGGAATCACGCTACGCAGGAAGAATTCCAATTGGCTCTGTTCAAGAACAGGAAGAAAGAGAATCTTTTTGCAAATCGGGTACGAGTTTGTTATTTCCTGGTCGAGGTGTCAGCAAATCATACATGATGTTCTGAAATATTGAGATTACGATTTTTTAATTCTGTTTTGAATACTAGTTTGATTGTTTTGATTATGAACCCAAACCATTGATGCACAGTTTAAGCTGGATGGGATGTTGAAGTCTTGAAGAGTGCTTAAGAATCATAATTAGGAAAGTCCTCAGCTATTTTTTTTTCATATACTTGACTGACTATAAAGTTATGCAATGAGGGGATATTTGAAATGTGAAATGGGCTGCTACAATGGATGCCATGTGCACAATTAAAATAATTATTGTCAATGGTTGTTGCGTTGTAGGAATATCCTAGATTAGTTTAACTTTCCTAAATTTAACATAACCATCGCCCTTTCCCCTGGGAAAGGGATTGAATCTTCAAAGAATGCCATTTCTCCTAAACCAAAAAAGGCCAAAGACTCGCACTCTGAGTTAGATTACTCTTCCTCTCATTGCTCTTTCGCTAATTACCTTTACAAAATAATCTCCGTGTACTTTTTGTACATTCGAAGTTAGATATCATGAACCCTTGTGTCATTTTGTATTTCGTATCGACAGACATAATTGGAAGTGAACAAAACACAACACAGCCATTCAATTTCTGTTTTCATAAATTGATAAGTTTAATTTGTTCTATTTTTAGGTCATATGGGAGAAGGTCTCCTATTCTATGACAGTTGCTTAGCTTTACTTTTGACCCAGAATTTTGCAATTGCTAAAATATGATCCTACCTTCTCTTTTGTCGTGTCTATAACGGTAATATGCTCAGTGGGATGATTAATGAGAATTACTGATATATTTTCTTAAACTTCAGAAACATTAGGCTATATTGATCTAGTTTAAGCATTTGCTTAATGTTATTCTGTAATTGCTGGATGTTACAACCTTCTTACTATTTGATTTGTTTTCATACCTGTACAAATCAGCCCTTTGCTGAATTTGGCTTAACTTCGTTAGATTAAAGAACTGGCCTTTAATAGTTCTGTGTTAGAAATTTTTTACATGCATGGAATCGAGGATAAGCACACTTCTATTCATTCACAAATGGATGGATGCGGATGTTGAGCAAGGAACATAGCTGTACTGCTTGTTGTAGCAATGTTAAGACATGTTCATGTTAAAGTCTATGGAGAAAATTGTTTTCTTATTTTCCTTATTCTTTTTCCTGTTTCAAGCTATATATTTTAAATTCTTTTCTGCTTGTAGATTTTTGATCTCTTTGATGTGAAGCGAAAAGGAGTCATTGATTTTGGTGACTTTGTTAGATCACTGAATGTTTTCCACCCAAATGCACCACAAGAAGATAAAATCAACTGTGAGTTATAGAGATATGTTTGGATATTGTTTCTGACACTTGTATTTTGGTTTATTCTTCCCAAATTAAGGTGCTGAAAGTAATATTTTCTTCTTCTTCTTCTTCTTCTCTCTCTCTCTCTCTCTCTCTCTCTCTCTCTCTCTCTCTCTCTGGTGATACTGCAGTTTCATTTAAGTTATATGATATGGATGGCACAGGATACATTGAACGGCAAGAGGTAGTTAATTCTTACCTTTTGCAGGTTTCTTCTCAGATGAAGTGAAATATATTTTTAAGGATATTTCCTATGCCTATATCTAGGATAATATGTGACTATGTTCCAAATTTGAAATGTGGAGGGGATGGTCCACTAGAATGTGGCTCCAATTCTTTTCTTGGCTTGAACCTTAGGTTGACTATCTTTGTGTATTTTTTTAATTGTTGGAATTGTTCATTTATAATTTGGGTTGTGTCAAGATTATACTTATATAAAATGGACGAATTTACCATTACTTATATGTATAAAACTCAACTTGCAACCCAGTCACAGAATTTGATTTAGAAAAGATTTGATTAGTTTTAATTAAATAGGTGTCAATGTACGCAATTGAATTGACAGCCAACAATCCAAATCAACGCTAGAAGAGAAGAAAGAGAGAAAAGAGAGCACAGGAGAGAGGAAGGACGGAGAGGAAAATTGAGAAAGCAAAGGTGTCCTTGTATTTAATAATCAAAGTCAAATTCAAATCAAAGTACTTACCCTTTTCATATACCGTTTTACACAGCATAATTAAGGTAGGTAACCAAACAAGGTGATAAATCAAAAATAACAAAATTGGAATTAGAGAACCCTAATTAATTTAAGTTCTTTTGCGCCTCGAATATACTTTAAGCAACAACTTGATTACGAGCACCTTATCGATGATATGGTTAGGGGAAAACATAGTAGTTAGAGCCCAAGTGGGTGGGCAAGTAGCCTGAACTGCAGAGATGGATATGGATATATTGGAGGCTCGAATGTGCCTCAATAAGGCTACAAATCTGTTATATTAAAAACTGAACTAATATTGAAGCGCATTGGCAAATCAAGTAGATGTGCATTAGTTCCAAGTCTTTTAATAATGGGGAAGGAGCCAAGTGAGCAAGCATAAAGTTTACATGTTTTGGAAAAAAACATTCCGGAGCAAGTCGAACCGTGACTTAAACAGTAACATTAAATTTTATATGCCTACAGCGTGAATCATATGCAAGTTTGTAGTTTATATTACTTAAAGAGCAATTTTATGTCTCCTCTCATCATGCAATTCACGAATTTGGCAGATCCCCCCCCCCCACCACCCGCAGATTAATTAAAGAAAATTTGTTGAAGCATGCATTTTTAATACTACCATTTGCTTTTCCATTTAAACCAATTTGCAGGTTCATCATATGTGATTTTCGCAGGTTAAGCAAATGTTGATTGCACTTTTATGCGAGTCAGAAATGAAGTTGGCCGATGAAACGATTGAGATCATTCTTGACAAAGTAAGTGCTAATGCCAACGGATGCTTATCTTTACACAACTTCTCTTGAATGCTTCATCTCCTCTTTGTGACATACATGGCTTAATTTCTTGGATTAGCTTTGCATTTGCGCTGACGAGTTGAGCCAAATGTTTAACAAATTTTTTCCGCTTCGACTCAACAAACACAATTCTCAAGCTTGTTTTGATATTGATCAAACTCGAGACAGTGAGGCTTGAGGAATGGCTGGAGAATGGATGTCCTTATGTTGAACTTGAGCCTGCATCAAGACTTCTAATACTAGAACCTCAGTTTTGCCAAACTACAAATTATTATTGAAACTGATTAGTTTCAAATCGAGTATATTATTTTACACAAAGATCGCAAAATTATGGCAAATATCAATCTCAAAATCCATTAAATTTATTAGAAATCAAAACTGTATTCTTAGATGTATGTAAGGTATGTGTGGGAGTACATCATACCTTATACACGCGCAGAAGATAGAGAGAGATGCATATATGCTTAAGAAATGGAAGAGGAGAGAGAATCCGTGTTGCACGGATACTTCAACTAGGTTGGCGTGTTCGTGTTCGACATTGTTGGACACGTCTAATATCGACATTTTTCGAACACTCTACTATAGTCATTTTTTTATTAGAAATATCTTATTTTTATAACTCAAAGTTATTGTCAAATAAAAAATAGATACTCTTATTTACAAGATTTTAACAAGAAAAATTAATAGCAAGTATAAAGTTATATTTATCCTATATAAATGTAGAATTTTAAAGAATTGAATTAACGTGTCAGCGACTTATCCCATCAATATTTTTTGTTAAAAAAAAAATTGTGCGTCGACATGTTCTACAACATAGGAGATAATAAGAGCCAGAATAAGAAAATGCCACCTGTCTTTGAGTCTTGGGCTGAGAAAGTGTCTCTGGCCGTGCAAGATCACCACTTTTTTTCTTTCTTTGTCTAGCAGATTCCGGAAATATCAACTTGGGGGGGGGGGGGGGGGGGGTGTTCTATTAATTCTACAATTTGATAAATCTAATATAGCAGAAATTTTAGCTCTGTATTCAGGCACTAAAGGTCAAAGGTTAAAAACCTTGTTTAATTTAATTATTCGAATTATAAAATGTAATATGCTAATCAATAATCATTCAGGTAGGATTATGGGGCTACGTGCCCAAGATGTTAGGAGATGCCTGATCTCAAGGAAAGCCTATCTGATGTTAACTTGAGAAATGCGCATCCCTTACTCTGCATTAAGGATACTTCTCTTCAGTGACTTTTATTGGGGATTTTGAAGGGTAGTATTGAATGAAAAAAGAAAAGAAAAAATAAAATAAAAGGTCTATATAGTTGATGTCTAAACTTTCTGGCATTTCAAGTGGTGATTTTGATGCCCAATTATGTTTGGCTAGTTATTCAAGTATTGCAAAACAAGATCTGAAGCCTTGGCCTTTTTTGTCTTTTTTAACCATTCTGTTCTTCCCTGTGCTATACATAATATTGGAAATCAGTTTTGTAGGATGTTACTCTTCTGTAGACTGGCATAGTTGTTAAGTAGTATTCTTGTGGGGTTGATACGACCTGTCGTCACATATGAAATGTCAGACGTTATAAATTTAGCTACACTTTTCCCCGGATCTGTTGCAGGAAAGGGATAATGTGCAACTTCGAGTTGTCAATTATATCCTTTATTGAATTCCAATCATGTATATTTCATTTTATGTATTTTAAATTTATTTTTCTATTTTTACCACATACTTGAATGTTTTATTCTGAGTTCCTTTGGTGGACTCTTGCAAAATATTCACGATGCAACACGAAAAGAGTTAAAAGTCGTCTATTCAAGGCGAAATACTAGGATTAAGTAGAATTAAAAATTGATATTATCTTTTAATTTAGTTTATTTTTTATGTTATCTTTTATTTCAATTTATCAAGATAGGAAGTCTGATGTTATCTTTTATCTAGATAGAAAGGAAATTTGTTTAGTTTCGAAGTCCTTCACTATATAAAGGGACTTAGGGAATCATTTTAGAACAACTTGAATTTTATGAAATAAAACATTCCTCTTTGTCCTCAATTCTTCCCTTTGATCTCTTTATTCTCTTTATCTTATTGTTCTTTATCAAGTTTGTGCATATCCGGCATCAATTTAGATGGGATTTAAAAAATAAAAGAGAATGAAAATAGTAAAAAGAAAGAAAAAATTGAATGGTTCATTTATTCGACATCTGAACTTTGTGGGTTTGAGAAGGTGGATTTTGATGCTTGATTATTTTTGGCACATTATTGAGTATTGCAACGCAAGGGCTAAGTCACGCCCTTTTTCTCTTCTTCCTTGGACCTTTTTGCATATTCTTGTTTATGCAGAACAGTGGAGATCAGTTTTCGAGGACTCGATGCCTTTTCATTACAGGGCATTAGTTTTTTATGTAGTTATTTTTTGAGATCTTGGACCTTTTTGCATATTCTTGTTTATGCAGAACAGTGGAGATCAGTTTTCGAGGACTCGATGCCTTTTCATTACAGGGCATTAGTTTTTTATGTAGTTATTTTTTGAGATTAATGTATATGCACTATGAGTATCTGGATTTTACTTCCTATATTCATGGCATGTACTTGTTTGTAGCACTCTGGTCTGTTGGATTCCTCGTCCGTTAAATTCATCTGGGGAATGAGAAGGTAAAAGAGAACATGAAAAGAAAAAAGAAAGAAGGGTGATTTATTTGATATCTGAACTATTGTGGCTTTTCAGGAGTTGGATTTTGATGCCATTTATGTTTGGCATGTTAATTGGGTAGTGCAAAAACAATGGTTCAAGCCTTGCCTTATATCTGTTCTTTCATTGAACCATTTTCTTTCTTTCCTGAGGCATGCAAATCCTTGGAAACTGGTTCTTAAGAATCTAATCTTCTCTATTACTGGGGAATAGTTGTTAAGTAGTTATATTGATCGTGGCGTTTTCAATAGCTAACAAACTGGAATACTGTAATCTGGGTTCTGTTGCTCGACTCTTGAAATTTAGATTTTCATGTGTTTTTCTGTCACGTCATTGAACAGACATTTTTGGATGCGGATATTGACCAGGATGGCAAAATAGATAAATCTGAATGGCACAATTTTGTGTCCCGAAATCCTTCACTGCTGAAGATAATGACACTTCCATATTTGAGGTAATGTAATATTTGTTGGTCATGTTCAATATATGCATCACTTGGAATTTTACTGTTTAATTTTTTTATTTTTTTCCTTATATATTGTGGTTAAATGCAGGGATATAACTACAACATTTCCCAGTTTTGTATTTAATTCTGAGGTTGATGAAATTGCTACATAAATTAAGAGACATATTAGTTTAGTTGTTTATGTGATTTTTACTAGTAGCAAACGTTAAAATAGCAAGTCTGTGAATGGTCGTTTGCAAACCACTTTTGTGACTGGGATTTGCTATTTCTGTTGTCCATTCTTAGTGCCTATTCCTAACACCACAATTTGGTTTGGTGGTATATTACAGCATGTGTTGAATATCTAGGATGTTTATTGGGATTAATTCATCGTATTAAGGGTCTGTTTAGTAGGACTTTTGTATAGTCAAAAACTGTTTTTAAGACTAAAAAGTTGCTTTTGAACTTTTTGGATAATTTTATGAAAGCCCTTTGTCTAGTTAAGAAGGTTTTTAGAGACAGAAGCAAAAGCAGAAATCCTATCAAACGAAGTTAACGTGTGGGACATCGTATTTCTGTGATTAAGTTATATAATTGGCTACTGCAATGGGAATACAAAACAGCAAATTGCCAGTTTTTTAATGGCAAATTTCTCTACGAAGAAAAGAATGACCATTGAGAATACCATTGCCATTGGATAGATGAATTAGATTATTCTTGACAACTTATAACAATTGTGTCCTCATGTCACTTCTGTGTTGATCGTTATTTGCAAAAGTTTGAATCCAACAAGACGATTTAACATCAATGTTTTGAAATCCAATTGAAAAACAAACCAAAAAAGATAAAGCAACCTGAATTGAGGTTGAACAGATGGAAGAAATTTAAAAGCAAAATAAAATTCAAAGGTGAATTAATTAATTATTGACTTGTTTTAAAAGATTTTATTCTATATTTGTTAGGTATTTCCTTCTATTTCTAGAAATATCTTAATTTTGGGTAATAAGGCCAAGTGACAATAAGTTCCATTTAGTAGATCACTCAACCTTGGAACTCTCTTTAGTCTAACAATGGGTCCTTGTATCTTGAATGATTTTTCTTCAGTGAAATTGTTAGGTACAGACACATTGTGATACATGATTCTTTTTTTCCCTCCCGTTTGGACTTGTAATTTAAGTTTCCCGGTAAGATTCTTTTGGTTGTATGCAAGTTAGCATCGAACCGATCATGTTTCTTTATTAGTTGAGAAATGAGATTGGAGGTGTAAAGTGCATCGAGTTGGAGAATGGTCTTTGGGCATTTATGGGGCGGCATCCTTGATGTGTTTCCACTGTGGGCAATATGGTACACGTGAATTTTATGTTATGTTTTGATTAAAATTTGTTTCTATATTAAGGTCATGTTTGGTGGGGATTAAAATCAGATTTTTAATAAATTTTGATAAAAGTTAATGAAATGTATGATTAAAAAGTAATGAGTTCTATAAAAAAATATGATTAATATTAATTGTTGATTTTAATATAGACTAAAATTTTAATTTTAATTTTCATCAAATAGGGGCTAAACATCATTGTGCATCAATGTGTTACAAGAAAGCGACTTAGCATAAACAATGTAAACATCCGTCAACAACTTGGATGTTTTGGGAGTATTTATAAACAGTTTAAATTGTAAAATAAATTGAAATGAGTCATGAAAAAGTAAATAGTATTTTTAAATATAGACAAAAATTTGACATTTTAAGGTTTATGAATATTAGTCAAAGATGGACTCGGAATACAATAACGGAACTAGAGATTCGTTATACATTAGTCATGTGTATATATCTTTTGAGTGATGCTTGGGGTACATAACGGACACCATTATGTTGCCCATTATGTTGAAATAAAATAATCCATAACTTTTTGTTAACTCCATTTTCAATATAAAATAGATTTATTGAGAAAATTAAAGCTCTGTTTGAGTCTCATTATTTCTTTATTAAAACGAAAAATATTATCGTTATTTATCACATCAAGTTATCATATTTGACTTTCTATTTTTTGTGTGGGGTTTATAATGATTATATTTTTCATTCTTATTTTTACAATAAAGTTATTCGAAAGGGGCTTAAAAATTTATGCATATTTTTAGTCAACATTGGTCATTGAATTTTTTAATCAATTGTCTTAAAACAATCAAAAGTAACTTTTTTTGTGAGATAAAATTACAATTTTACCCAGTTGAGCAGGCCGTAGGCAAGGCTGAGCAGAGCTAGGATTGAACTAGTATTTTTATTTTTTTTTATTGGATTAATACTTAAAGAGATAAAATAAATTTATTTTTTACGTATAACTTTTTTTAAAGAAAGGAAATATTTTAAAAGGGCCACAGGCCAGTGCAAAAAACTAAAATAAAAGTGGAAATTACGCTCCACTCTATTTTCAAAGATTAATATTCTAAAAACAGGTAAGATGTTTTACTATTTACAAATCAGATCTTTTGTATTTCATTTTTCAATTATTTATATTATCAAATTAAATTAATCTATCCACCCATATATGTCAACCCAATTTCATACGCAAACCCATAATTCATTTCTCCCCACCCCTCTCTCTACCCACAACATACTTTCCTATTCATTATCCGGTGACAACCGTACATAGCTGGCAACCATCGCACGTTGGATCAGTGACGGCATAATAACAATGATGGAGTTGTGTGTTGATGGGGATGTCAACAATTTGAGTCGAGTCGAGTAGGCTCTTCAGTCGAAATTCGAAGCTTTGGCTAGGTTTGAGAAAAAATGGTTAAAGCTTTTTTTGGCTCGAGCCGAAAAACTCGAAGCTTGGGCTAGATTTGAGAAAAAATGGTTAAAGCTTTTTTTGGGCTAAGCCGAGCTTTCGGCTCAAGCCTTAGCAAGCTAAGTGCTCTTTTTTTTGTTCTTTTTTTTTTTTTTTTAAATTCGTGACAATTCTATCATTTTAAAAAAAATTTAAATTTGTAGAATTTATATGAATTATAAATTAAGTAAAAGTTACAATTCTCATCCTTTTTTAGGGCTAGAGATTGACTACAATCAATGTAGTTGGAGTTAAAATTGTACACGAATAAAATATTTCATGTACAATTTTTCTTAAAACAAATAAATTTAAAAATTACGTATTTTTTAAAACTAATCAATTTAAAAACTTACAATATCCTTATTTTTGGATCTGCTGTAACTCCTCGGACATTATACTATAAACTTGTTCTTGAAGATGTAATTTCGCACATTCCCAATCCTTCAATCATATTAAAGTCTCCAATGTATCTTCTTTTAGTCTTGATTGAACGTATGATAAAACTCGACCACTTAAACTAAATGCAGCATCTGATGCCACTGAGATACCGAACGTATTAGTAGATCACGTGCAATTTTTATACAATTGGATATTACCTTTCGTTATACTTCCACATGATAAAAGACCAAATTTCTGCAATTCTTTAGTTGTAACACATTAAGAGCATCCATGCACACGTATCTTGCTAATTCAGAAGAAATTTCAAGATTTGTACCAATAATATTTATCGCTCTAAATATTGATAGACTATAACTAAATAAGGGAACACTTGTATTAGTATCCAAATAATTCCATATATCATCTGAATTTGTTGAAATATTTTTAGAAAATGAACATTGGGAAGTAGAGCTATCCACAACTTATTTTTCAGCATAATAGTTATACATTTTACATAACATAGACTCTATATGCACATGCGATAATTTTACGTTCATAAAATTTGAAATTCCCTTTATAGTAGTTTTTATGTCAGATAAATTAAGTTGACGATATATCACCGAAGTTAAAACAAATAAAGAGGGCAATTCTTCCCAACATTTACGAAATTTTAACTCTTACGTCAACAAAAATTTACAAATCTCTATATGTATGAAATGCTTGTGTAATGTAGAAAAAGTGTTGTAAAACAACGGAAGATGTAGGGTAATAAATATCATCACATTCTTTTGTGGCATCAAAAAATGTTTTTAAGAATTTTTCACACAAAATGCAATAGATCATTCACAATCTTTCAAATTATGTTCGAGTCCGTATATATGATTACTATTATTATATAATGAAATAACTTTATCATAATTTTCGTACGAATATAACATAAGATTTGTAGAATTCTATCTATATATTACATCAGTGGCAAATGATTTATCTTGTAAGCCATATTCTAGTTAACATAGTAATAAAATTTATTGTTTGTCTAATTTTATCTAAAGGCAATGTTATATGTTCTAATCCATCTTATATAATCAAATTGATAATGTTGTTGACCTAGGGTTGACTGCTCGTTTTGATTATAACAAACAAATTTTATTTAACAATTGTAGTTGAGTGATTATAGAAATTTATGACAAGCGTGGACAAAAGGATGCTTTCGGAGCTTTCTCGAAATTGAACAAAGTAGAAACCAAGCTACACATCAAGACAATGAGCACTTCATCAAGTCAAACAAAGAAGAAATTAGAAGAAAATAGATTTAGACACCTTGATTTTAAATGTTAAGGTAAAACACTTTATTATTTGGCATATACGTCATTTGAAACTTAAGAAACGTTTCTTCGCACGACAAATACGATTTTTGCATAAAGAAAAGCATGAACATATTATATACTTTAAGAAATGTCAAAAAGTTCTTAAAACATGTTAGAAACATCATCCATGAAATTACATTTTGTTATATTATTTAAAGAAGGAAAATTTTCAAACACGAACTGATCTAGAGGACGCATCCGGTAGGTCTAGCGGACGTCATGTATGACAGGTTTGTCCAACGGTCAAGAAATTGAACGTTCTGACTTCTGAACAAAAAACGGTTACTTGACCGTCCGGTAAGCTAGCGGACGTCCGGTAGAGCAGAACTTTTGATCGTTTTGCTGCTATATATATATATATATTGCTTCAACTTATTTATATCAGAAAAACTTTTGATTAATTCAACTTTTGAAAATCATTTTTATCAATGTGTTTCTATCTAACACTTGAGCTTCAATCATTGCTATCTACTAAAGTTTTAGCCATCTTCTCTTGTTGTATTCAACTTCAATTATATCATTTATTGCAAGAGAAGTCTTTACTTGTATATTCCTCATTTTTCAAACTAGTAGGTCGAGTTGAAATTCCGAAAATTTCAAGATTGTAAGGGAATGGTGCTCCTTGCTTGTAAGTCATCGAAAGTATTGTAAGAAAGTTGGATTGCACCATAAGTCAATCAATATAGTGAAAAAGGCCTTGCTCATGACAGAGAGTTTGGTAACGGGGGACGTAGATCATTGCATTGGATCGAACTTCCATATCATATCGTTTGACTTCTCTTCCCTTTTACTTATTCTTGTTTTTATTTAATACTTGTGAATTTATCTTAGTCTTCGTTCCTTTTCATATTTGACTAATTGCTACATTTAAGTGAGAATTAATGGTATATTTAAAATTATTTTGAAAAAGCTACTATTAC